CCTCTATGCGTTTAATTAAAAATATCCGACCATTCGCTGCCCATAAGTGCATAAGATCCCACTTATCCACCTCATATGTGTGACTAACCACAAATGACTGTCCATGACACGGCATCACACCCATCCATTCATGTAATTATCCATAACTGTTGTAGAATAGCTCATGTGCATTGATGCATTAGGTCCTACATGAAAATCACTTGCATTGTCCACTTTCGGTTGTCCATACCATGAAATCTCATCCATCTCACAACAGAACATCACTTTGTTATATTCTAAGTTGTCCACACATTATATTTATACTTTGTTATATTCATAAGTTTCCCACACTAATTTAATTATAATTCTTAGAATTTCACAAATTTACTAATGAATATTAGTTTGCATTAGCATGTTTGCACAAACGACTTTTGGTTGTGTATGTTTGGTTTTTTTTCCATATGATTTATGTCCATTACAGAGGTAGCTTCGTCCATATGTCTGTATACACATATAGCACAGTTGCTCACATATGTGTCATTTTCAGGTTGGCATATCATCAGGAGTTGTTGTCATTTTTCTCAAGGCACCATGGACAAAGCACCGTGGACAAGAAAACATGGACAACTATTTATTGACTTGTTGTTTGCTTAGCTTGATGTCTTCACAGATTTGAATGGTATATAAATAGTTACAGATATTTTGATGCCTTGTGTCAGTCTTTGCATCTAACATTTACTTTTCAGGAGGATCAAGACACATGAGAACAAAACCTCTGATTATAATGTTTATTTTCATCTCTTGCTGAATCCCAAAGGTCCTCAAATTAGGACAGATTATTTTTAAGAATTCACAATGAAGCTAACAAAATAGTTCAAAGGGATAGAGAAGAGTAGAGATGTTCTTTTTTTTATAATTGGAGTGTATCCTTGTCCACATTTACTTTTTCAATCAAAAAAATTCTTCCAATTATTTGTATTAACCATGGACCACATAACTGTGGACAAGGCGCCATGGTCAAAAGACCATGATCAAAGTAACTAAGTTTTCACGAGTGCTATTATCATTGTTGATCTCTTAGTACTCGAGCTTGGAACCATTGTCCATGAGAGGGTGTCCATACAATCTATCAATGAGAAGGTGTCCATGAGAGGGTGTCCATACAATCTGTCCACGAGAAGGGCCCCATGAAAGGGTGTCCATTACTCTTCCCCATTTGCCTGTATACATGAGTGTATTATCCTTTCACTTTTCCTGCCCCTGATCCAAATGATAAGAAATTCTGCCTCTGATCTAAATGATAAAGAAAGTAAAATAACATGTTTTAGCAACCATAAAACAGAACTATCATTTAGTATGGATGAAACGATATGGAGACATCGATATGAATGATGATGTGTTAGCATACATGATGGAAAAGTTTCGTCTATATATATATATATATATTTGTCCATAATACACTGATCATGATATCATAACTACTACATATTTGATAGACAAGATTATATTAACATGTTGTACTGAATATAGTCATATAGACATTTTGTTATATTTATCAGTTATACTCTAACATGTTAAAAATATACAAATAGAAAATTGTTTTTCTTTTTAGTTTCATCTTATTTCCAACATTATATTTATGTATACAAACACGAGCTAAACTGATTACATATATCAGAATAAAATTTATGCACATTCTGTTATCCATATTACGCTGTCCATTACAGTTTGTTCATTTCACGTAATATTTACATAGTCGTCCTTTCTATATCCCTCTCAACCAAAGATATCTTATTATACCGAGATCAATAACATCCATAAAAAATAATCCACGACGTTCCGTCCATAATGTTTTATTTTTAAAGTTACCCATGTTGAAAAGGTTTTTTCTAATATGCATATAACCCTTACTACAAATCAACAATCCACAACCTTTTATCCACATGTACATTGTCACATTCATCACTAATATGAATGATGCTGTCATCATCTTCTTTCCTATATCTGAATTAATTTCACCACCACCACAGTTTATACTAGTAAAAGCACCTCGCACACCATGATTTATACTTGGAAAAGCCCAACCACCATGATCTGTACTTGTAAAAACACCACCACCACAACAAAATCTCAACACCACTATGATTCGTACAAGTCTCTACCACCACCATGATTTATATTTTTTTGCTGCTAACATCATCTTGTTATTTCCTATCAAAACAATCGATTGCGTAAATAAATTAATTTAACTTGGAGCGTTGAAGGACTACAAATACTGAATTATGATATGGCTATCAACCCCACTTTTACATTAGTTTCAGATTTGTTGCAGAACAGATGGCAGACAACCAACTCGACCTGTATATTTTTTTATTTTATGGTCAAATATAAAACCTAAATATCTCATTCGAAAAATAATCGTGGTTGATAATTAAAAAATTTATCATGAAAAGAAAAGACAAATCAAGAAATAAGAGATATAAAATATTATTGAAAGTATGCCATATTAAAATGAGTATGCAAAATATAATCACATTATTTCTAAGTATGCTGTAATATTTAAAAAAAAAAAAAATACTAACTACGTTATAGTTATATCAAAAATAGTTTCAAACACTTCTAATTATTTCTCAAGAAGAAGCAAATTTTATTTCTGATCTCACATCAATTTTTAATTCTATCTATTTTTTCAATTGTTTCGTCCAGAGAAAGATCAAAATCAGTATCATGATCCTTTGACTGACGCATTACGCGTGGGACGTATGTCATGCTCACATTATATATTTTATACGCGTGTGATTAGTGTGGTCGTCGTCATATTCTTTATTCGTCAAATGATTTTTATATGTATCAAACTGAATTTGTTAGAATCTACTTTTTTTCTCTGAACTAAATTTTTGTTAGCATCTACTTAAATGAATAATCTTAAATTGTTTGACATTAATTTCATAGAGACACACACGTTTGTTCGTTTCTTTAATCACTTAAATGCCAAATGATATTGTCTGTTGTTCATTTACAAGAATACTACTGTATCAGTCTTTAGGACAAACAAAATATAAACAAAATGTTCTGTTTTTTAAGAAACATAAAATCTACTTTTGAAAATGCGTTTAGGAAGCTGTTAAAATTTGCTGCGTGAGGGCTTTCTTTGGGATATACGCGACACTACCATTGATGAATCTTGGATTAATTTGGCGATAGTTATTAAAAGTACGAACCTCATAAAATTATTTGTATGGTATTTTAGAGAATTCCTCCATAATTAAAAACATACTTTTAACATAATTTAAAATGATACTATTATGAAAATGCTAACTTGGTTAAAAGGTTATAGTAGTAACTATTTCAAACCGATAGTGACTTGTTGAAAAGTAAAAGTTTCAAACGAAGGAAAATAGAAATGCCGAGGATAATTGTTTGGGGGAATTGATTGATTTCTGTTTATTGTTGGCGACGGAAACAATATTCTTTTAAGTTGACTTGACCTTAAAACTTCACATTCTCTCTCCTCTTTCTTCCTCAAATCCTTGCACACCATCACCACCAATCTTTAGACTCAGTCTTCACATTCCTCTCACAATGCCATGGTAACAAAGTAAACCACTTGCCTTTATGCTTCTGTCCCACGAGTTCCATTGGCATGGCTGCCTGTCTACAGAGCTGATATCTGGAATTTTGAAAGTATTAATCTATTTCCTTCTATTTAGATTAATATTTTTTTTAATTCATCTTTGCTTAATCGTTAAAATTCAAATTTTATTTAGTATTTGATCTGTTTCATAAAATATTAAAATAACTATATAAAAAGAAAAATAATTATAAATATTAAAAAATTAATTCAATATGTTGAATATATCATATCCAAAATTTTGAAGATATCATATCCATTTCATTATATTTGGATCAATATTTTTTTTAAATCGTCGCTTTCTATTACTAATCATTAAAATCCAAAATTTTATTTAGATATTAGATCCGTGTCATAAATATTAATATAATTATAAAATAAAAATATATAATTCATAGAAAAAGTTTTTTTTTTTTATAAAATTTGTTAAACTTTAGTATTAAAATAATTAATTTAATGATTATAAATTTCCAAAAACTTATACATATAAATATAATAACTATACATTTATATGTAACTATTTTATTTCAAATCAAAGTATATTATCAAATCAAATTTAAGGAATATTTTGCCTAGCTCTTTAGATATTTGTTAGTCAGAGAAGAAGGTACAACTAAAAGAAAAAGAAATTTCGTCGAAATGGAGAAAAAAACTAAGTTTTTATCTCTTTTGTCTACTCATTCACACACAATTTTAAACGGTACATGTCCGATCGCTATCCCCATCCCCATCCCCCTCTCCATCTTTATTGTATATCTTTTCTTGTAAAGCACTCTGTTTTAGCTTCACACGCCATTTTTCTTTCTCTTTGACTTCTCTGTAAAATCCTGGAAAGGCATATGATTGTTATACTTTGTATATAATTGAAAAAAGGGGTAAAAAGGGGCTGGCCTTTAAATTTTGTTTGTCGGTATGGGGCTTTGCTGGTCTTCTCCATCTAATTCTCCTTCAACAACCACACCTAGCTCTACCGGTAACATCAGTTCAGGTTCGTTCCTCTCAATTCTCTGCCTATTTTTGGAGTGATCTATTCAGTTTCCCATGTGTGTTTCACTCAAACCTGTGTAATACGTTGAGATTCATCTGCAAAACCAGTGTTAGTTTCTGTACTTGTTTGTTCGATGCATAAAGGTCAAGCCTTTACATCTCTCTGTATGGTTTTGCTCTGGTTCAACAATGGAACCTTTTGTTAATTTGATTGAAACTCTTCTTTTGTTGTTTTCTCATATGGGTTTTACAGAAAGTTTCCTCCTTTTGATTCTCTTGTCGTTATTCAATCATTGTTTCTCACTTTCTCTGGTTTCTGATCTGTTTTGTGACTCTGATCTGTTATGTGTGTTTTGGGCTTGATTTTGTTTTGGAATGGTTCTAACTTCTAATTGAAGCAGGTGCATTTAAGTCAACGACTACAGGGACATCAAGAAGTAACATATCAAGCAATAGTGGGTTCTCTGCGGGAAGTGGCGAAGATGCTTACCCTGAGGGTCAGATACTTCCCATTCCGAATCTGAGGATATTCAGCCTCGCGGAACTCAGAGCTTCAACAAGGAACTTCAAGTCTGAGAATGTTCTTGGAGAGGGAGGATTTGGTAAAGTCTTCAAAGGCTGGCTTGAAGAGAAAGGTCCCGGGAATCACAGCACTGGGACTGTGATTGCTGTCAAGAAACTCAACTCCGAAAGCTTCCAAGGATTCGAGGAATGGCAAGTGAGTATCCTGTGGAAATAGTTTTCTTCTCTGATATGCAATGCGAGGAGTTTTGTTTGTTTACTGGATGGGGTTCTGTCTTGGCTTTTGTGCAGTGTGAGGTGAATTTTCTTGGAAGAGTTTCTCATCCGAACCTCGTGAAGCTGTTGGGATACTGCTTGGAAGGTGACGACTTGCTTCTTGTGTATGAGTATATGCAGAAAGGAAGCTTAGAGAATCATCTCTTCCGAAGTAAGAACCTTTTCTTTTGCTTATACAACACAAGCCATTTTAGATGTTCGTTGCTTTATCTGCTTCTGTTCCTTCCAGAGGGTTCTGTTGTTCAGCCGCTCTCATGGGAAATAAGGCTTAGGATCGCAATAGGAGCAGCTAAAGGCTTAGCGTTCCTGCACGCTTCAGAGAAGCAAGTAATTTATAGAGACTTCAAAGCTTCTAACATTCTACTTGATGTGGTAAGTAAACACACATTGGCTTATGGATTTGGTACGTCAAAATCATCAAGCGTGGAAATGTAACTGGTTTTTGCTCTTGATGCAGTCGTATAACGCAAAGCTATCAGATTTTGGATTTGCGAAGCTAGGTCCTTCCGCGAGTCACTCTCACATCACAACACGTGTTATGGGTACACAAGGTTATGCAGCTCCGGAGTATGTTGCTACAGGTACACTACAATATACAATGTCTCATACTTCTTGGCTCTTTTTGTTTTCTTTCAAGAACAAACCGTGAACATGTTTGGTTTGGTTCTAACAGGTCACTTGTATGTAAAGAGTGATAATTACGGGTTTGGTGTTGTCTTGGCCGAGATCTTGACTGGTTTACGCGCGCTTGATCTTACTCGTCCCACCGGTCAACACAACCTAACCGACTGGATCAAGCCTCATCTATCCGAAAGGAGAAAGCTTAGGAGCATAATGGACCCTCGTCTTGAAGGAAAGTACCCTTTCAAATCCGCTTTCCGAGTGGCTCAGCTGGCTCTGAAATGCCTCGAACCGGAGCCCAAGAACCGTCCGTCGATGAAAGAAGTGGTGGAGTCGCTCGAGCTCGTTGTAGCCGCCAATGAGAAACCGTTGGAGCGAAGGACGAGCAGAGCTTCACCAAACGTCGGTCACCAACAAGGCCATTTTCGCCGGGAACATCTCTCTACGTTTCAGCCGAGGCGAAACGCTGCTCGAGCTCACTAGTGTTTGGTTTTGAAACACATTGAGATTCTTTTTTCTCTCTCTCTCTGGTTTTGTACTTGTTAAAGATAACTAGAAAACCATTTTGTATGTATGCTACTACTACATGTAACCAATAGAGAAGACAAGAAGGCATATGTTGTAACTATAAGTAATGTCTAGTGTTTTGCTGTGTGTAATGTAAATTGCCTAGCCATAAGTGGCCATGGAATTGAGCTTGCTTTCATAAGTATCTAAGAAAATGGGATCACACTTGTGCTCAAAGATACAAGCTTTGTCCTCGAAGATTAAACAAGCTTCATCCAATGGAAAATGGCGGGAAGTGGTCTCTGGGTATTCACAGATACAGAGAGCTGGGGTTGAATTTGACGACCCTTTCGTCTTCCCCATCGTTTTTAAAGCTTGCGCTAAGCTCTCATGGCTCTCCCAGGGTAGATGCATCCACGCGAGTCTGTTCAAGAGAGGGTTTGAGTATTTTGTTTCTGTTGGGAACTCGATTGCTGATTTCTACATGAAATGCGGAGACTTTTGCTCCGCGATGCGAGAGTTTGATTGTATGGTTTCGAGAGATTCGGTCTCTTGGAACGTAATCGTCTTCGGGCTTCTCGATCATGGTTTCGAAGAAGAAGGGCTATGGTGGTTTTCGAACTCGAGAGTTTGGGGTTTTGAGCCTAATGTGTCGACACTGGTTCTTGTGATTCACGCGTTTCGTAGTTTTCGATCGTACGTAGATGGAGAGAAGATTCACGGCTACGTGATCCGTAGTGGGTTCTTGGGGAATTCGTCTGTTCAAAACTCGATCTTGTCCTTCTACGCAGATAGTGATTCTTCAAGCGCACGCAGGCTGTTCGACGAAATGTCTGAAAGAGATGTTATTTCATGGAGTGTGGTAATACGAAGTTATGTGCAAAGCCAAGAACCTGTTTTTGGGTTGAAGCTGTTCCGAGAGATGGTTCGTGAGGGGAAAACAGAGCCTGATTGTATAACCGTAACAAGTGTTCTCAAGGCCTGTGCGGTTGTGGAGGATATCGATATGGGAAGATCAGTTCATGGGTTCTCTATACGTAAAGGCTTTGATTCGGCAGATGTGTTTGTGCGTAACTCACTCATCGATATGTATTCAAAAGGGCTTGATGTTGATTCGGCGGCTAGAGTATTTGATGAGACGACTTGTCGAAACATCGTTTCTTGGAACTCGATTTTGGCTGGGTTTGTACACAACCAAAGGTACGAGGAGGCTCTTAAGATGTTTCGTTTGATGAGGAGAGAGGCGATTGAAGCGGATGAAGTCACTCTCGTGAGTCTTCTTCAGGTTTGCAAGTTCTTTGAGCAGTCATTGCCCTGCAAGTCAGTACATTGCGTGATGATCCGGCATGGATACGAGTCAAACGAAGTGGCCTTAAGCTCTTTGATTGATGCATATACAAGCTGTAATCTTGTTGATGATGCAAGAACCGTGCTTGATTCGATGACGTACAAGGATGTGGTGTCATGTAGCACAATGATCTCTGGGTTAGCCCGTTGTGGAAGATCTGATGAAGCGATCGCAATCTTCTCTAACATGAAGGATAAGCCCAACGCAATCACCGTCATAAATCTTCTTGACGCATGCTCTGTTTCAGCAGACTTGAGGAAATCGAAATGGGCACATGGAGTTGCTATCCGGAGAGGCTTAGCCACCACTGACATCTCAGTTGATACATCCATTGTTGACGCATACGCGAAATGTGGCGCCGTAGAAACCGCGAGGAGGACATTCGATCAAATCTCAAGGAGAAACGTCGTTTCTTGGACGGTGATCATATCAGCGTACGCTATCAACGGTTTACCGGATAAGGCATTAGCATCGTTCGAGGAAATGAAACGAGAAGGTTACACACCAAACGCTGTGACATATCTAGCGGTTTTGTCAGCTTGTAATCACGGGGGATTGATAAAGGAAGGTCTCGTGATCTTCAAGTCAATGGTTGAAGATGACAACAACAAACCTTCGTTGCAGCATTACTCTTGCATTGTTGACATGCTTAGCCGAGCTGGAGAGCTTGATACGGCAATGGAACTAATCAAGAACCTTCCACAAGACGTTAGTGCCGGTGCTAGTGCTTGGGGATCGATTCTTAGCGGCTGCAGGAACCGTTCAAAAAAAGGGATCATTACCACCGAGGCAGTAGCTGAAGTTCTTGAGCTTGATCCCTTGTGTTCTTCAGGGTATTTGCTTGCGTCAAGCTTGTTCGCTGCTGAGAAATCGTGGGAGGATGTAGCGAAGATTAGGAGGTTGGTGAAGGAGAGAAACGTTCGGGTCGTTGCCGGTTATAGCATGGTTCTTGAAGGAACCATGGCTAGGAGGTTTTTGGCTGGAGAGAAGCTAAACCAGAGTGATTGCGAGTTAAACGACGTCGTCCAAAGTCTTCATAGATGCACAAAGTTAGAAGACCGTTCGACGGGATGGATTTAAGGCCCAATGGGTCTTTGCGAAAGAATTATAGTGTTATTCAACGACGACGTATTGACAAACTAAAATTGTGGTAAACGACGCCGTAAGGGAGATCACGTTATTTTCTGATTCGGATCAAAGAAAGGAATCGGGTTTTTGCTGAGTTTTTAACCCGACCCGACCCGACCGCCGACCCGACCTGACGGTTCGAGTCGATACGTTCTCTGAAGCCGAAGGCTTTTGATTCTCATTTGATTGGCCGTTCTGAGCCAACAATAAGTCATTCTCTTCAAGTCTCTCTCTCATTTTGTTATTCGACCAAAAAAAAAAAAAAAATTTATATCCCTTTCCTCAAGAAATCTACCAAACCGACTCTAGAGAGAGCTTTTGAGTCTTCTCGTCTTCGTTGAATTTATCTTTTCTCTAGGGTTAGGGCTCTTGATCGATTTCCCGGTACTCTTGCGATTTACTTGAACTAGGATCTAAAATTAGAATGGGTGGAGAAGGAGATTCGAGTCAGCCGCTGACTGCTGTCGATGGTGGTGACGGAGGAGCTGTGGCCGTGAACATCAGGGCCTCGAATGGATCGAAATTTAGTGTGACGACGAGTCTTGATTCGACGGTGGAGTCTTTCAAAGCGCTGGTGGCGGAGAAGAGCGATGTGCCAGCTAATCAGCAGCGTTTAATTTATAAAGGGCGGATCCTTAAAGACGACCAGTCTCTCCTCAGCTATGGTAAATCTCCTTTGTTCTGTGGATTTGATTGATTGAAAAATCTCATAGGGTTCATTGATTAATTTAGAATTATGTAAGTTTTTTTGTGTGGGATGGTTTTTCGTTTTTGGTGATGATTTATGTTTCTCTTCCCATATTGATTGTGGAAAAATGTGATACGATCAAGATGAGTCCCTTTGATGAATGTTGGAAAGCAAAATGTTTGTGATGCTGTTATCTGGTTCTCTATTGTATATAGGTTTGCAGGCTGATCACACCGTTCATATGGTTCGAGGCTCTGCGCCTTCTTCAGCGCCTCCTACTGCTCCGGCTGCAAATGCTGCGAACCAAACCACTGCACCTGGTGTTACTCGAGGTGTTGGTTCAAATGACAGCTCAAATCCAGTGGAATCTTTGTTCCCTGGGCTCGGATTTAATCCTTTGGGTGGTGGGAATGCTATGTCCGGGTTATTTGGAGCTGGTCTTCCGGATCTCGAGCAGGCGCAGCAGCAGCTAGCTCAGAACCCTAACATGGTTAGAGATATGATGAACACACCAGCCATTCAGAGTATTATGAACAACCCGGAGTTCATGAGGAGTATGCTTATGAGCAACCCTCAGATGCGTGAGCTTATAGATCGCAACCCTGAGCTTGGCCATGTGCTGAATGACCCAAGCATCCTCCGTCAAACCTTGGAAGCCGCGAGAAACCCGGAGCTTATGCGTGAGATGATGCGGAACACCGACAGGGCCATGAGTAATATTGAGTCCATGCCCGAGGGGTTTAACCATCTTAGGCGTATGTACGAGAATGTACAGGAACCGCTGTTGAATGCTACTACGATGTCTGGGAATGCTGGAAGCAACACGGGCTCCAATCCTTTTGCTGCACTCTTTGGGGGAAACCAGGGGGTCACTACCGATGCTTCTAATAACTCTTCGACACCGAATGCTGAAACGGGGACAGGAAATGGTATTCCGAACGCAAATCCGCTTCCTAATCCTTGGGGTGCTACGACTGGTAAGAAACTGCGTTCTCATCCTCTTTTGAAGGATGCAATAATATTTTATAATAGTAAGAGTGGGTTTGTTTAAAAGAAATTGGAAGTTTATGTTTACCACACTGGTTCAGGAGTATTGTGTATAGTAAATTTGGTGACGTTAGTTTATAAAGTTCTCACAAAGTTGTTGTTATGAGTAGTTTCTGTATGCATAAGTTTCTTAGCTGCTTGTTTTTCTAATTTAGCTTTTACTCGTAATGCACTAAACATTATTATTGTGGGGCTACTTGACAGGCCAGACAAATGTACCTGCGAGCACAAATCCTGGTGGAAATGCGAGAAGCCCTGGACTTGGTGGACTTGGCGGTCTTGGTGCTCTTGGTGGACTTGGTGCTCTTGGAGGACTTGGAGGCCTTGGAGCGGATTCACCTCTTGGTGCCACTCCAGATGCTGCGCAGTTGAACCAGATATTGCAAAATCCAGGAATGTCCCAGATGATGCAAAGTATACTTTCCAATCCGCAATACATGAACCAGGTAAGATCTTAGATTAATCTGAACTTAAGACATTGTTGCTATTTGTGAACATGTTTTTTAATGTTTTTCCCTTGGTTCCAGCTTATCAGTCTCAACCCACAACTCCGAGCCATGTTTGATTCGAATCCTCAGCTGAGGGAAATGATGCAGAACCCAGATTTCCTTCGTCAGTTTAGCTCTCCAGAGATGATGCAGGTTAGTTGGGGCCTCTTTTTATCTTTATGCATGTGAATTTTTGAATATGCAAAAAAACTTTTCTGTAATCTCTAAGCAAATTATCAAATGATGAATTTTTTCACCCTAATGTCATGGATTGTTTTTTTTTTTTTTTTGGTCTTCAGCAAATGATGACTCTACAGCAATCACTTCTCTCTCAGAATAGGAATACGACCAGCCAGTAAGTGTGGACACCTATGCTGTTCTGTCTTCTTTAAACGTAGTTGCGCAGTTACGAGTCCTCTAAGTATCTTAATTGTATTGTGTTTAGACAATAGTGTAACTAGTCAAACAGATAATTCTATTTGTGGTGAGCGATCTTAATATTAACTATAAAGCAATAACTGGATTGGTTCATGAGTAATGCAGCAACTCTTGTTATCTTTTACTGGGCCTGATCATTAGTTAAACCTCTATAAAGGGATGTAAAACACTTTAATCGTTGAAATGAACTTAAATAGGAACATAAACATATCTGTTGACATCTCTTTTTTTATTTCCATCAATTCGTATTCATGTTCCCATTCTATCTTCTCTAGGGAAGCAGGGCAAACTGGTGGTGCTGCTGCAGGTACTCTTAAAGATTTTCTGTATCTGAAGTATATAAAGGCTTTAGTTATTTCACTTAGTATAGTAATCGCCTTCTTGTACTCTTTGCTTCCATGGATGTTATATTGTAGCACATATATTTTCACATGTAGCTTATTGAGTAAACCATCATTACGATGGCAATGTTTATAGGTGCAGGCAATAACGCAGGGCTGGATTTATTGATGAATATGTTTGGCGGTCTTGGTGCTGGCGGCCTGAGTGGCGCGAACCAGTCCAATGGTTAGATTCAATGGGATTTGTTAATACTTTTTATTGTATCTGTTGAGATGGTTCCATTGAAACATGTTTTCTTGTTTGGATCCAGTCCCTCCTGAGGAACGCTTCGCGACTCAGTTGCAACAGCTGCAAGAGATGGGGTTCTATGACAGAGCAGAGAACATAAGGGCTTTGCTTGCAACCAATGGAAACGTTAACGCTGCTGTAGAACGACTCTTGGGGAGTATTGGCCAGTAGAGCAGGTTCGTGAACTCTGATATGTCTCTCCATTTGGCAAATTCTCTCAGTTATTATATAGAATAAACAGTCTTTGAAATGTGTTTTTGAGTGATGATGATTGATAATTTATATTTATGAATAGGATCGTGAACTTGTGGATAGAAAAAAAGCCGCATCAAATACGGTATTTGCGGTCGTCTTCTCTCTCTATTACCCCCATCCCCAAAAACCTTTTTTTTTAAAATATATTTTGGGTCTTCGGTCTTCGTTTATCTTTCAGATTTTATTTGAATTGTTACAACATACATCTGTAAGAGCTGGTTTCGAAACGTGGAATGGCTACATTTTACTTTATCTCAAATAGAGTTTCGTTGTGATTATGTGTTATTTCTCGAGATTCCAAAGAGGTTTTGATGCAATTAGTAATCAAAAGTGAAACCAGCTTGATGTTTTCCAATTGGAACTAAACTTTTTGAAAAATATATTATTTGAGGAAATTTGGAAAATGTAATTCCGACAAAGCAGGGGGGCGTAAACGAATAAAAGCAATTCGACAAGTAACTGCTAAAAAACAGTAAAGCGGTTTTAAGACACCTGGACGAATCAAAGGAGTTGAAAACTAACTGCTCCCTCTTCTTCTACATAACCAACCATAACTCCCACTTTCCCATTTTTTTTCTTTTCTTTTGGTCTCTTTTAGTTCTCTTTTCTCTTTTACACATTCCTTAGAATAATGACGAACACTTCAGATTCCGACCCCAGTTTCATTATCCCATTTGCTCCATCGAATGCAACTCTTCCGAGTTACAATCAAACCCCAAGAAAAAAACGCACTAAAATCTCCAATAGCGAAACGGGTTCTTCTTCTTCTCCAAGGCCTAAACCGGTGGTCAAGAAACCAGACCCTAACGCTCCCAAAATCACACGACCATGCACCGAATGTGGCAGACAGTTCTGGTCATGGAAGGCACTCTTCGGTCACATGAGATGTCACCCTGAGCGTCAATGGCGTGGCATCAACCCTCCTCCTAACCACCAACGAACCGCCGCGTCACGATCGTTGGTTTTGGATGCATCGGAGGAAGATCATAACATTGCCTCTTATTTACTAATGTTGTCTCACCACTTTACCACCGGTTCAAGTGGAGAAGTGGAGTCACGGTTCGAGTGTGGAGGAGGATCACATCAAGCGTTAGCAACACATGAACTTGTTCACTTAACCGAAGATCCTCTTCCTCCTCCTCATCACCAAGAGATCGTTGATCAGGATCGTAAGGGCAAGAGAGTTAAGTTGGTCTCAGGGATCAATCATCGATGTTACATCTGTTCTAAAGTGTTTTCGAGTGGTCGAGCTTTAGGTGGTCACATGAGATGTCATTGGGAGAGAGATCAAGAGGAGAAGAATCAAGATTCGAATGTTATCGATCTCAATGTTCCTGCAACGAATCTTCCCGGTTCTTCTTCACACACATTGCCCGAGTGTTCTTTAGAACTTAGGCTAGGGCTCTGATGATCTCTATATAATATATAAAGAGGTATTGGTTTCTTTCTCTTACCAAATTCAGTTTATGTGTGATGATTTGTAATTATATATACGATTGGGGGTGTTGTAATCTATAAAAAAACTAAAATTGTTGATGAATTTGTCATTATATGTGTTCCCCCTATCTATTATATAATTTTCAGAGTTGATTTTTTTTCTTTTTAATAATAAATCCTATAATTCTTCACTATCGTCAAATTTTTATTTTACTATATATGAAAACTGTATATTGTTGTTATCAAATCAAAGTTGAATATTTTAATTCTTTAACTGGTTCCATTCATTTTCATAATCGTCAATTTTTTTTTTATGTTATATATGAAAACTGATATTGTTGTTAATTATGCTGCCTCCTCAGTCCTCACAATGGCATTTGCATGAGATGAAAATGAATAAAAAATGACGATAAACAGTTCGATAAACCATTTGATGTATTGTAACGATATGGAAAAATCGATCAACTGAAAGATGATATTAGTTTTGAAAATCTGAAGTAAGTTTTAAGTGAGAAACCCTTAATGGAGATAGTCTAATGTTCCAGTTTTTAAATCATTTTCTGTCCAGTGTAATTTTCAAATTCCAAAGATTTATATTGTCGGTGTATTATACTCATATATATTTTATTACTAAAGTTGTTATCTATTCCCAACATAATCATCTATAATATATAAAAATTGATGGCATAGTACATTGAAGGCGTCCGCATGTGATTGAAAAACTAGATCTGATTAGTCAACATCAGCATATTCATTAAATAAAAAATGGTAAGTATGATTAGGACGGAAAAACTTGATTCAATTGATCCACATCAGCTTATTTATCAAACAAAAAATTGTTAAGTATAATTAAAATATTAAAAGTTAATTTAACAAATTATGTCCAAAAAAGTAAATTCAGTCTGATTGATCCAAATCAACATATTTATTAAATCAGAAAATGTTAATGTGGTTTAAAGATTTTAAAGTTAAATAAAAAGATAAAAATAGTGAAAAGTAATGCAAAAACTCCACACCACCGATCCTACAAGTTAGAAAACTAAAATTATCAAATATTAGATTGTAAAAAAAATATAAATCAATGAAAACTGAATAAAATATAAGCTAAAACTCTTAGAAAACATGGTGGAGAAGGAAAAAATAGTTTTGCATGATCATTGCAGCTTTCTAACAAAATTAAATGCGAATCTACATAAATCATGGATTATATATACAGTAATACATAACATCAATAAGACTTTCGATTAAAAAAACCTAAATATTTGAACACATAAACCTTTAAGAAAAAAAACTATAGAAATTCTATGGAAAACAGAAAAAAATACCAAAATCTTTCTTTAAGTCAAATGTATAAGTACGTCAAAGGGTCATTGTTTTTATTTTACTTAATATTTTTTTAAAAATAATATATAAAAACAGAAGAAAATTACACATTATTTATTAAATTCTCTTGTGATGAATTTTTTATATATAGATTATAGTTTAAATAATTTAAAAATAGTAGATAAAAATAATTAAATCAAACTATTAATACATACTCGCATATAGCACAGGTTATATACCTAGTCATCTATTACTAATAAAAGTTGATGCTAAATGCCTCTAAGGGTGTCCACATGGAATTAAAAGATTTGATATAATTGGTCCACATCAGCATTGATAATTAATTATTAATTTATTAAAATTAATCAGTTATAATATTAATAAAGGAAAATATCAATAGTAGTTCATAAAATTAATTTAATAAGAAAAATGTAAATATCAATTTAGCCTCAAAAGGTGTCCACATGGGATTAAAAGATTTGATATAATTAGTCCACATCAGCATTGATAATTAATTATTAATTTATTAAAATTAATTAGTTATAATAGTAATAAAGGAAAATATCAATAGTAGTTTATAAAATTAATTTAATAAGAAAAATGTAAATATCAATAGTAATCTATTTTTTAATATAGAAAATAGTATATATTAACATCAATATAGTAAAAAGGAAAATTTGATACAAATCACAAATTATCTTTGGGTTTTGGATGTGTCCACATAAACCCAAAATCCATTCCCAAATCAATAACACGTCAACTAATAAAATGAATAAAAAAGACAAAAAACCTTTCTTCTCAAATCTACTCTGGGATCTCAATCTACTCCTCACCGTTTCTCTATCTCAGATCTCCTCATCGCCATTTCTCTATCTTGCCGTCAAATCTCGATTTAGATCCAGAAAAAAATCATCGATCCATCTCCCTCTCATCTGAGATGGCATGAAGTATTTATCAATCTAGCTTGGAACAATCAAGCATTTCACTGGTAACAGTACAACTGATTCAGTACGTTCTTAGGGATCATTTGTTTGTTATTATTGAACTGATAAGGATGAATGTTTGCCATTGATTTTTCGTTTGTAAAATGGAAAAAAAGATAAAGATACAGAATGTTTGCCATTAATTTGCCATTGATTTTCCAGTTTTCTAACTTTCTCAATTCTATTCTATTAAACAATCGATATAGTATTTCCATGGCTTACAATAAACTAATCGATATGGAAGCATCTTATAGTAAAAAGGAAAATCTAATACAAATGTAAGTGATAAAACTAATAAAAGTTAAACAGTGTGAAAAAGTTAAACTTCCTATTAACATAAAAGAAATTTTCTGGTTAAACGTATTTGTTATTGCTTATAAATAAGCACATCCACAACATTTAATAGTTCATACAACTTGCTAAATCAAACGAATCCTTAAAGAGATAGATATAAGATATTGAAACAATGGCTGCTTCATGTGCTTCTTCTCCCATCAAATCACATACCTCTTTCGATGATCTTCAAAAAGGTTTTAATGGGAAGAATGTGCTTGCTAGGATAATCCATTATTGGGAGGCACGAAACGCCAAAAAAGGAGGGCTGCTAATGGGTTTCGAACTCCTTCTTATCGATGAAAAGGTATCTTTAAAATTATGTGATTATAATCTAATTACAATTTAATTTACACTACCATATTATATTCTAACAACTTTCAGGAAAACGTCATCCAAGCATTCATACCAGCTAATCGAGTAGGTTACTATCAGCCGAACCTAAAAGCCGATACCGTCTACAACATTAATAACTTTCTGGTTATTGATAACAAAACCAGCTACAGGTTGTCTGCCCACAAGTTTCTAATCCAATTCACTCCAAAAACAGTGTTGGATAAGTCCGACCAGCATGATCATATTATTGAGAGACAAACGTTCCGGATCCGTTCTTATGATGAGTTAAAAAAAATAGTAGACAAGAATGAAGATCTATACGGTAAATTAATTCTTTTATCTCTATGTACATGTATCTATTATAATATTATGTTCTAACATTACAATTTTTCTGTTTAGATATCATTGGAAAAGTGGTCCTAATCGATAATGAGAAGAACTTTAATGGTGTGGCTAAAAACAAAGTCGAAGTTCATCTACAACTGAAAGAGTAAGTTTTTCTCTTGACTCTAGGTTCACCATGACGGATTACTCTAACAATATTAATAATTGAGTAAGCTCTTCCCTTTTCACTAACAATATTTTATTCCTTTTTAATCAGTGGGCCAATTGTTCGTCTTACTCTTTGGGGTAATGTTGCCACAAAATTTGAAGAAAAATTTACTGAAAGAGTAGACAAACCTGTTGTATTACTAGCCACAACTATGAATCCAAAAACATTTAGAGGTGTGTGATCTCAAACATATAATTCAACTTCTAGCATTGAGATTGGTTTTCTGAATATATTCTTCTATAAATAATATGAATCAATTAACCTTTAATTGCATGATGCAGAAAACTTTTGTCTTTCATCCACGTCTTCCACCCGGATTTTTTTCGACAATGATGTTAAGCTATGTTCTGAGTACTTGACATGGTATGTATGTCCATATTCATACTTTAATATATTTTTGTTTTGTCAACTATAACTGTAACTGTTAAAATACATTTACATGTTTTCTTTTTCAAGGCTGGGTGAATCTGGGAATAACTCTATCATCACTTCAGAGATTACAAAGTTAGAAACTGTCACCATCTCTGAACTTTATCAATTTCTGAAAAACGAGACTCCACAGGTATAAAGATCTTTTGATATTTTGATTATAAAAACTGGAACATTCATGTCCCTTACTCAATTTTGATTAATTGTGTTTCTTACAATTTCACCATTGGTGTTGCAGATAGTCGGTTTCTATTGTATTGCTACCGTCGTTGATATATTACTACAATATGGATGGAAATACATTGCATGCACTAAATGTAATTGTAAATTAGGACGAACAGATACAGCCTTGGTTTGCAAGACATGTAACTACGAAAATACTGTTGGTCTTATCAGGTAAGCAATACTTCTCTCATAGTTATTTATTTATCAAACCATAAAATATCTAAAGCAATATGACTAACATCTAATATATATAATTAAATTGTGTAACAAACATATATCGTGTTGAGCTGAGTGTGTTTGACAAAGACAATGTCGCTACTTTTGTTATCTTTGATGAAGATGCTATTAAAATAACTGGTAGGAGCGCTGCGGATATTGTGGAAGTTGATGACGAGGTATATAGCTTCTCTTAACCAAAAGAATTTTATGAGAGATTTGATTTCCATCATTAGTACTTATTGTGTTCTTCAATTCTTAACAGAGTGATGAGAATGGTTCCACTGACAACTCAGCACCACAATGTTTGTACGATGTTGTTGGTCGCACCTTCAAATTTCAGTTAAAACTTAAGCCCTTCGACTTCACTTCTACCCGCAAAACTATGACTGTGACAAGCATTCTCAGGGAAATCACTGATGATGACAAACCTCTCCAAGAAGAAACAGATACGACTGAAGTTGCTCATGATGATGAAAAGTGCAAAAACGGTGAAGAAGAGTGCGAAAAGGTTAACGAAGAGTGCAAAAACCGTGACGAAGAGTGCGAAGACGGTGACATGATTAACATCAAACACAAAGATAAACGTATCCGCTTTGAATAATTTTAATATTATACCAAAATTTTCTTATTAATTTTTTACATGATTTCTCTAAAAAAATTTAATGGTTGTTTGTTCTTAAAACTTATCTTGCTTCTGAGATCTTAATATAAGTAAGCTTTTAATTTAACGTATGCTTCTGTTATACGCTTTTAATTAACGTATGCCTCTGTTAGTTACCTTAGTTTTGATATCATGTTCAACTTTTAATTAAACTTAATTTAAACAAAATCGTGTCATATCACTAAATGAACCTAATTATGTAGAAATGCAACGAACCTAATTATGTAGAAATGCAACTTCATAGATTATTCAGTACACCTACTTCTATTAGATCTTCATAAAATTCAGATACCCATTAAAATAAATATAATTAAATTATTTGAAATAAAAAGTTATAAAATAAATTTACTTAACAAATTTGTGTTTTAAAATATAGTTAAAAAAGGAATTGCTAAAATGGAAATTACAATTAATTTAAAAGACTTTTGTAATTTGATTGACACAAGAAAAAAGAAAAAGGGAAATTATATAATCAATTAATATTATATAAACAAATTAAAAGAGAGATACAATTTTGTGAATTAAAATTTAAATATGGCAATAACGTCTTCATTCTATAATTTTTTGAAAATACAGTAGTCAAAACGAAATTTTTTATTATTTTAGAAATATTATTTTAGTTTGATTGATAAGAAGAAAAAGGAAAAAAGAAAAATAAATATGAATATATTTTATTACAAAAATCACAATAACCTTTTTCACTATACCGAAAGTTTCTTGATTTATTTATAAAAAGGAAAATTTCTTTTTTTTTAAAAAAGGAAATCTTTTAAGATGTTATTATATAATCAAAGGTTAGGCTCGAAACAACGACTTTTTAACATAAAGCTCTTTTCATTAATAACCAAATCTTATGCACAATACATACCAACAACTATTGCAATGGTTTCTCAACTTGGAAGAAAAAGAAAAAAAATCGAAGCAGCTAAGATCAGTTATTATAATTGTAAGTTCACGACACCATAGATTTATGTTTAGAAAGTCGCAATATAATATGAGCAAATAAACACAACTAACAGCTTATATCATTATGTGTCAAATAGGTGGCTGTGGTGTTTGTTTCAAACATGGTAAAAACTTCTTCTCAAAAGAAAAAATCTAGAAATTCATCAGAATTAATTTTTTTCTAAATATATTTACACTAGATAATTTAATCTGTTTTCTGTTTTTAATATACAGTTGGGCAAAAAAACGCAAGAGCGATGCGAAGAGCTATTATACTTTCCAGAAGAACGTCATCGGAAAACATTGGTACAATCCTATAAACTCATATTCAAATCTAACATTTTTTAAAGTTTCCACTATCAGATTATACTGTATTTCATCCTCATAATGCTTGCCACAAAACATGTATGCATTACTAAACACAAAAACTCATATCCAAAAAAATCTTTGCAACAGGAAATCAAAATACACTGCCATCAACGTCCCAACGACCCAAAAGAACCAAGAGAAGTAAGTAAATTGTGAAAATATAAATTCTATTACACCTTATTTTCTCACTTCACACATATATCTAACTGTGATTCACGTTTTTACATGCAAAACAATTCTCGCTCTACTGAAGAACAAGATGATATTCTTCAATGCCCTAATTGCAATGCTTTAATTTGGCATTCAGAAAAGGTCGGAACAGATCCAGCGACTGGAAACCCATTGTATATAATCTGCTGTCAACAAAGTCGTGTGAAATTGCCACCAGTACGGCAACCACCACCAACGCTTGAAATACTTCTAAAAGACAAGACTTTTCGTGATTTGATGCGAGTATACAATTCTGTTTTGGCATTCACATCAATTGGAGCAAAAATAGATCACACTGTTGCATCTGGACCTGGACCCCCAACTTTTAGAATACAGGGACAAAATTATCATCGCATTGGTTCACTCATTCCTATGTCAGGTCAGTTGCCGAGATTTCTCCAGTTGTACATTGTCGACACAGCAAATGAAGTGTCAAATCGCATAAATTCTCTAACGGGAAATCCTTCATCACTTCAAGAAAGCGTTTTGAAGCAGTTGATTGACATGTTAGATTCAAACAACCATCTTTGCCAAATTTTTCGAAAAGCTCGAGATCGATACGAGTCAGACGATGCCACAGAGTTCACGATAAGGCTACTAGCACAGCAAGAGAAAGGGAAACAATATGAATTGCTAGATACAAATGAGGTTGCTGGTTTAATAGTTGGTGATTTATCAACAACTACTGGTTACAAAGATGTTATCTTACAGTTTCAGTCTAATGATTTGCAACAGATAAACGACGAGCATCCTTTGTATATGTCGTTGCAATATCCATTGCTTTTTTCCTTACGGGGAGTTCGGTTTTCATACTGAGATACCTTATGTTATACATGAAGCCAGACAACGAAAAAAGTCTTTTATAAGCATAAGAGAGTTTTACGCTTATCAGATTCAAAGCCGCCTAAACGAAGGGAAGACAATTATAAAATCGGATCGTTTGTTACATCAATATGTTGTGGACGCGTACACTGTTATTGAGTCAGAAAGACTGAGGTGGAATAGAAACAACCAAGAGCAGCTACGAGCAGATTTATACAGTAATGTATGTGATGCAGTTGGTAAAGGTGATACGGATGCAAGACTACATGGAAAAAGAATAATACTACCTTCAAGTTTTACTGGAAGTCCACGATATATGATAGAAAAATATCATGATGCAATGGCAATTTGTCGAACATTTGGAAATCCAGATTTGTTCATTACTATGACAGCAAATCCAAATTGGAAAGAGATAAATGATCATCTTGAAGCCTGTGGGGGTGGTTCGGCAAATGATAGACCAGATATTGAATGTCGAGTTTTCAAAATGAAATTGGAGCAACTGCTAAATGATTTCAAAAAAGGAACTTTCTTCAAACCATATATCGCAGGTATTTATTAGAAATCTTACTTTGGTTTTTCTGTTAATGTTAACATATTAACTAATCTGCATAATCTCAATATTATTTACAAAATGTTTATAATATTATTTTCTGGGAATATTGAAAAACTAACATTTATTTTCTGTCCACAGTTTTGCACACCATAGAATTCCAAAAGCGTGGGTTGCCACATGCACATATGCTACTTTGGTTGGATGGTGCATCAAGAATCCCCACAACAGATGAAATAGATGCAATAATCTCTGCTGAATTACCGCAAAAAGATAACGACCAAGAAGGGTTTGAGCTTGTGGAAAAACACATGATGCACGGTCCATGTGGATTAGATCGACCGAAATCACCCTGCATGAAAAATCGAGAATGTTCAAAGAGATATCCAAGACAATATAATAAGCAAACATCAATCGACAAGTCTGGTTATATAATATATCGTCGGCGGCAAGATGAAAATAACTTTGTTATCAAGAGGGGGATGAGATTGGATAATCGCTTTGTTATTCCCCATAACTTGGCTATTCTAAAAAAGTACAAAGCTCACATAAATGTAGAGTGGTGCAACAGAACGAATGCTGTCAAATACCTTTTTAAGTACATTACAAAGGGAGTTGATAAAGCAAGCGTCGTCATCGAAAAAGGTCCAAATGCTTCAGACAACACTAAAAAAAACTCAACAACAAGGAGACCAAGAAATGAGATACAAGAATACCTAGACTGTCGATACTTATCTGCTTGTGAAGCGATGTGGCGGACGTTTGCATTTCACATACACCAAAGGAAACCTGCAGTCCAAAAACTTATTATTCATCTGCCTGGACAGCATAGCATAACATATAGAGCTAAAGATGACCCCAGACAAGTTCTGTCTAGGAAAGATATTGAGAGGACAATGTTCACAGCTTGGATGGAAAAAAACGACGAATCAGAAGAGGCACGGAAACTCACCTATCTGGAATTTCTATCAAGATATATTTATTATAGCGATAGTAAAGTTTGGACAGAACGGCAACAGAGAGATATGATAGGACGAATAGTCAACATACATCCATCGGCAGGAGAGTTATATTATCTAAGGATAATAATCAACAAAATAAAAGGGCCGAGAAATTTTAACGAAATCTTAACAGTAGGGGACAAAATATATCCAGATTTTAAATCAGCATGCTATGCTAGAGGTCTATTAGATTCTGACTCAGAATGGCATGATGCAATGGATGAAGCTATTCGATGGGCTACACCTTATCAACTAAGACAACTATTTGTCACCTTGCTTATATATTGTGAAGTGGGCAGTCCTCTTAGTATATGGAATCACTGTTGGAAATCTCTAAGTGAAGACATGCTTCAGAAGAAACGCAAAACTTTTAACTTTCAAAGGCTACATCTTCC